GCCTTTCCCCTCCTGCACCCCCCCCCCCAAAAAAATCGCAAGACTGCAGAAACATTGAGTTTCTCTTCAGAGCAATTAATGCAATGCTGTGCATGAGCCTATGAGAGCCTTAGTTACCATACATGAAATACACAGCCCTCTTTGCTCACTGACAAGCACAAAGTGAAAGATGTGAAAGGTTATTATGTGTTGCACAAAGTTTTAGGACAATTAAAACCAGATATAAACTAAATTGTTAAACTGAAGATTACTGGCTTCCTCAAAATCAGCTTGGGGAGTATCTTTCTTAGGAACAGAATCCTGGGTTACATTTCCCAAATTTCAAAATCTGAGTTGTTCATGGCAGTACCAGTTAGTGCCCACGTGTTTCTAGTGCAAAACAGATTTAACAGCCACTGTCCTAGAGTTCATTTTAAAACTTGTCACAAGTATCACAACACAAATTTACACATGCACAGAATGAGGGCCTGATTCAACCGTGTTTTACTGAAGTGAACATACTTTCCACAGAAATATATTGTTAGTGACTCATTACACCTGATGTTAGTGTTCCATTTTCCTCATTTCCCTGTTCCACTAAGTCAGTTCTAAACTGATACACCAACTTTTCAATTAGACTCCATAGAGCAAGATCAGGGAGGCTGGAAGCGGATTCTCTTGTATCTGAAGGCTCTGGATATTTCTATCATCCATATTTCTATTACAGAAATGTGAGACTAATACCAGGTCATCGGAAAAGTCATGAAGCATTTTTGCATAGAAAAATGTCAAGATCCCAAGATGACCTAGTAGTTTCTACTCCACACTGGGGTGAAGGAGTGGATGGTGGCTAATGCCAGTCTTGAACCACTAAAGCCTGCAATTCACATTAGAAAAACAGGCCTAGTTCAATGTGCCACTCCAGAGGTAAGGAGGACCAACCCTGTAGATATGCTGTGGCATCACCTCAATTCTTCTGTATGACATTTCCTTTACCAAATTCCTGCCATGAAGTCTTAACAACCCTCCACGACGACCCCAAATAACACGAACCCAACAAGGTCTGCGTTCCCTTGTAGCATACTTGTTTCCGTCAAAGGCCCTAGAACAAGACAATCAAACCACACACCTTATAGGTCAAACTGCCAAAGAAAGTGACATCCATTTTCTCCTAGATCACAAAATTTCCTAGACAACTTGGGTTACATAGAGTACTCAATCAACTGGGTGTAAAGATAATAGAAAAGCCCATTCTAGCCACAGGGAACCAGGGGAAAACATAAGAGGCATGGTTGGAAAAGGACTCATGTTCACTAAAAATGAAACTATTTTTATAGACCTTGCTCTTGACTATAGCAAAAAATTTAAATAAGAATGCTTATAGTAAAAATCACAACGAGCAGCAGTATCAAACTACTAAATTCCCAAAGTTACTGGTTTTAGCTAAATGCTTTCTACAGTACAGCCTTTTTGGAAGACTGCTAGTAGTCAACACCACCATTTCAAAATCTGTGAGTAGTTTCTCAAGCAGACTTGAGAGCCAAGATAAGCAACCCCATACAGTTATTACCTCTGAACAAGGCGCAAGAATTCACTTAGACAAACAAGATCTCATAACCTACCTAAAAATAGGATAGTTCATAAATTTTCAAAATTGTTCTTCCCTGCTGTGAGCAGCTCTTGATCTCTGACTGTAAAACTTGGCAACACTTTGGCATGCTCTAATGTGAATTTTATAACTTACTGAAAACCCCTATAAATTTAGCATCATTTCTCAAATTTGCAGTGTTAACACTATGTGCTCAATCATTTAGGTCACAGATGGAAATAGATGTAGAAAAAGTCATCTTTAGGCAGGTTGTATAGTTATCACATAACAAGACACTAAAAAGAAAAATTTAAGCATTCATAAAAACACTTTGAAGTTTAAGGAACTTGATCTTAGCATACTTTCTTAAATTTTAGTAGCTCCAACTATAGGAAGATAGAACTACCGTCAAGACTGAGATGATTTAACTCAAATTGTTCTCCAATTCCTGACACCAATAGTAGATTTATAGTTTTATTATAGTAACAAACATGTTACAGTGAGATCTACAAACATATACAGAATTATATTTAAATTCATATAGAACAATATTTACATTTTTAAGTTATACTTTTGAAGTTAAGATGATGAAGTACAGCATAAGTTTTACAACAAAGAAAAGAATAATATACAAGACAGAAATAGAGTTAACAGTAAAAGTACAGCTCTCTGTTCATGATACATGTGGAAACTTCTTGTCAGAAAGCTACATCTTCTTAATCTGATTGTCCAAATCACTAAAATAAGGATGATTCAGGGCCATTTTGCCAGAAATCCGTTTGGCAGGATCATAGACTAACATTTTCTGGAGAGGGAGAAAAAAGAAATTTATTGAGTAAATGAACTGTCTTTAAAAAAAATTCCACAAAACCTTAACTTCTCTACCAATAAACCATAAGCTAATGTTACTATAAATCTATTAAATGAACATTTCCCTTAAACACCAAACTACATGTGCCTCACCTCACCCCCTCCCCCATATTTCACACCCTATCCTTTGTGAATAATCTACTCAACTCAAGTCATGAATATCCTGATAAACTCTTTTTGATATAAGTTATGGTATAAGACAAGCATTTAGAAAGCTTTAAAACCAAGACATAAATTTAGGATCATTATCTAGTTAATTTTATTTACTTTGAGATTTAAATGGCCATCTGAGCTATATATAATATTCTTGAAATGGTGGCATTTAAGTATAGTGGTTTCTTATGTGGTTTTCAACAAGTTGTAAAAACCCAAAAACCAAAACCAATCCCAGAGCATAATGTGCTATAAATATAGCTAAAACCAAATCATTAAATAAATTATGATCAGATATCCTAGTTATTAATGTTAACATACACACTATCAGAAACTAAAGTCAGTTTAGCATTGATCTTAAATAAATATTAAAATTAACAACCAGTTTAGACATACTTCTACCAACTATTTACCATTTAAGTTATTACGTATCCAGTACAATTTGATTTATCATGTTACTGAACCCTCACAATAAACAGTAGGTACTAGTTCCCTTTTACACATGACTCTGGTTCAAAACGGTTAAGTAGTTTGTCCAAGTTCATAGAGCTAAGGAGTGATAGAAATGAAATTCGAAAGCAAGGCTAATTTATGATTTGCAGTAGTGTTCTCTTCTGGGAGAACTGCCCCTCAAGGGAACACTTGGCAATGTCTGGGGACATTTTTGGTTGTCATACTTGGGGTGAGTGTGCTAGCAACATTTATAAAGGACAGTCGTGCGGCTGAATGTACTACACAGCACACAAGGATAGTCCCAGCTCAAGGATTTACTCAATCCAAGATGTCCATTGTGAGGTGGCAGATGGAGAGGTAAGCTAGGGTGACAGACTCCCACGTGGCCGACTACGGTTCAAGTTCCGGACCTGGCAGCTTGCTCTCACTTTCCTCTCTCTGGTTAGACAGACAGATAAGATGGGTGGGTGGATGGATGGATGGATAGATGGATGGAAGGAAGGAAGGAAGGAAGGAAAGGAGGAAGGAAGGAAGGAAAGGAGGAAGGAAGGAAGGTAGTAGGAAACAAGGAAGCAAGAAAAATAAAATGATTCTTTAAAGAAAAAAGATGTCGATTGTGGCTAGACTGAAGAATCTGATTTTATAGGATTGAATTTTTGTTCTGTTAACCGAAGTGAAATACTTTTGTGTTCAAGCCTTACAAGTTAAAAAGGCAGGGGAAGCTCCATAACACTATAAAACACTATACATAAGCAGTCAGATCCCACATTGCCAAAGCTCCCAGACTGAGACTTGAAAAATACACCAGGAGCATGTTCATCTGAGCCCAGAATCCTGATGGGATAGAGAAATGTAGAAAAAAAAGGACCGTGACCATGACCTGTAGGGGAGTGTGCTTTCTTTGATTAGTAAATGTACCCTCTGGTACTAAAAATAAATAAAGGCTTTTTCATGCCCTTGGGGGGCGGGGAGAACACAGAAAGAAAAGGGCAGACTGCGGAAGAGATATGTCAAATCAAAATTAATATACATACTACCTGAATGGCAGGTAAACGACTCTGGACTTCACTCTAAGCAACTGGGAAATCCAGCTTAAGCTGGATTTAGTGGCAGTGCAATGCTCAGTGATACTTGGCCACACAAGAAGGCCCTAGATTCATATCTTGATATCTCCTTGTGCACGCTGAGCATAAGCCAGTACTGGGGTTGCCTGACACATACACACTCTCTGCCTCATGAAAGACATGAACTTAAAAACAAAAACTGATACCCAGTCTAGGTATCACAGTTGACAGCACAAGAGACTACCGTGCTGGAAGCCAAATGGCTGACTCAGTTTGGATCCTTGACCTCGTTGACCCGAAACACATCAGGCCTATGTGTGTACAGGTGTCCAAGACCCTGAGAAGCGGGAGGGCTGAGGGAAAGGAACTGTGTGGCAAAATGAGGCCCCATTAAGAGTACTTTTTCACCTTCTCTCATGTGAGCACACACATACTCTTAGTCATAAAAAATAATAAAATAAAAAACTAACAAAATAAGATCAACACCAGGAAGTTTATTAGCCCTGACCCTCATTTAGAGTATCTATAGTCACCTGTCAGTAAAAAAAAAAAAGTAAGTCCCCCTCTCAAAACCACTATTGTTTCTTTATATCTAAAATAAGGTAATACAATGGATGACTTCTACATCAATAAATGTTGGTTTCTTTCTATTTTCCAGGTAAAAGGAAGAACTGAATACATTCAGAGTCACCAATAACGTTAAAATCAGTATATAAAAGGCACTCCTCACCGAGAGCAGATCCAAACCATTTTCATCCAAGTTTTTTACGTGGGATGCTAGACTTCCTGGCTTCCACTTAGGAAATGTATTCTTATAGTCCTGTAAAGATTCCACTTCTGGCCACACTTCATTATTGGGGGTGCCCAAAGCTCTAAAAACCACAGCAAAACAAAAAATTATTAAAGCATAAAAATAATCTCATTGTTTTATATATATATATGTTGCCTTTATTATTTAACTTACATTTTTAACAGCTTAGGTAAAAAACAAAAATACCTGAAAATTCTGAAGAGTTGGTCAATTTCTGAATCCCCATGGAAAAGTGGTTTCTTGGTGGCTAATTCTGCAAATATGGTCCCTATACTCCAAATGTCAATCGGAGTCGAGTAACGGGCTGACCCCAGTAATACTTCTGGAGATCTGTACCAGAGTGTCACTACCTATTAGAAAGGAAATTTTTATAACAGATGTGGTGTATTAGGTCACTTTATATTTAACCAAAACTGACTTTTAGGAAATTCTAAGATTGCCATCAAAATTATTATATAAACTAGCTATATAAAAATACTAAATTGGACATAATTTCATGTTTAAGTTCTATTCACAAGAGGGAAAAGCATCATAAATATTTTCTTGCTTTCCAAGTCATTAAAGTGACTTAGTTAGATCAAAACAGTCAGTCTTATCTAAACTCCACCAAAAAAATTGGTAATTGATTTGGCAATGTACTCTTTCCATGCTAAACTAGAAGCGTTATCACTATAACATAAATAAGCCAATTATTAGTTTATTAGTGGTCTAAAACTAATCAACCAGTCAGTATATATAACCTATCATACTGATAAAAATATCACCTCTAACTTAGAACAGAGTTAACGGGATCCACAGCATTGTTCAAGCCAAAGAGAACCTAATGGCTTAAACTCATTTTTATAGCCATCAGGAGAATAATAAAAGGGGATAACAAGAAGCCAAGACAACTAACAAGATAAGCACTGTTACTAAGTTTTGATTTGAAAACTGTCTTTGGGTGGGCCCAAGGGTAGACAAGTACATAGAAGACAAAGCTTTTCTATAATCCTTTACTGGCAATCATTGCCTTTCCCTCCAGAAACGGCAAATGAAATGTCAAACTATCAATATAACAGAGAAAACATGACATTTAGTAACTTCTAAATGTGTCAGAAATAGTACCCCTTAATCTTTTATCCAATCTGATTGTATTACCAGTGAGGGCACATACAGTGATTTGAATGCGAAGAGTTTAATATAAAAATTAAAGTATAGGGCAAGTGGATGGCATAGTAGTTAAGGCACTGGACTCTCCCCCACATGGTCAACCACGGTTCAAATCCTAGACCCAACAGCTTGGAACTCATGTTAGACATGTGTGCCCAGACTCCCCAGAGGAGAATGCAGAAGGGATTGTGGTATGTCCATCTCCCCTGAAGAGTAATTTTTCACCTTCTTTCACTCTGTCTCTCTTGTGAATACACTCACCCTATAGCAAAACAAAACATAACAAAACAAACAACAACTTCCAAAAAAAAAAAGTGGCTGGACTCCCATGTAGTTGACCGCGGTCCGAGTCCTGGACACGGTGGTTTAAACTCACGCCAGGCACATGTGCGTGCATGCCCAAAATCCCAAGAGAAGAATGGAGAAGGGATTGTGCCATAGCCAACTCCCCAAGGGGGTGATTTCTCACTTTCTGTCTGTCTTTCTGGTGAGCGCACACGCCCAATAGCAAAAACCTCTCAGAAAAAAAAAAAAAAAGTATATTAGAAGATTAGGAAAATGAGATTGCCTAGTAAGAATGAATGAGAATGTTATAAATCATAGCAAGGAAAACCTCTCTCTCCTGCAATAGAATGCTTCTTCAGTACCCTCTCTGACCAATCTTAACAGACCAACTGCCAAAGGAAAACTATTTAAAGGTTCTAGGTCCATTTTCACATAACATGCAATGAGGAGTGAATCTGGAGCTTAGATGTAACAAATGATAATTGGCAATGAGTAGATATCTTTGAGTTTTCCTTTGACTTACAGAATACAGAAAATAATCCAGCAATCACACAATCTGTAAAGTAACAAAAAAACATTATATTTACCTCGTGGGTGTATACTCTAATTGGTATTCCAAAAGCTCTGGCAAGGCCAAAATCAGCCAGTTTAATGGTTCCTTTGTCATCGATTAACAGGTTTTGAGGTTTTAAGTCTCTATGAAGAACTCTTCTAGAGTGACAAAACACAATCCCTTGTAGGATTTGGTACAAATAACTCTGGAAAAGGAAACACGTTGAAAACTTAACCATACCACATATGATTTTCTAAATAACTAATTTATTTCAAATATGCAAAACATTATAATGCAGGGAAATAATTTATCAAAAAAGCTTTTGTGCTACGTTAGACAAAAAAGTATTTGTAGGTGGGACACTCATTTATATATAATAAAATGTATACCTAAAACAAAGATATTTATATTACAAACATCTCTATTTGTGTGAACTCCATATTTCATTTTGTTTTACTTATTTTCCATCTCTGATTAAGTTAAATTAGTTTCTTGAACTTTCTTCAACTTACTTACACCAACTCTACCTTGACTAAGGTTGATCTCTTTTAATTCTTTCATCTTTACAAATTCATTTCCTCTTTGGAAACACTGGTCAGATTCCAAAAGAAATGGCAAAAAAAAAAAAATTATGATTTTATATTTAAATGGATAAAATTATCTTAAGATGTTGTTTAGTGGTTCAGAGATAAATTATATGACATTTGTTGTCAAAGACAATTGACATTTAAAGAGACATGGATATTACAGAAATATAAAGTCTACATAGTATAACAGTGACTAAAAAGTGTTGAAGTTGGAAATAAAGCCATAGTTAGGACTGGCAAGCCATTTGGAAAAAAATAAAAGTTGGATCTATATCCCAGTTTTTAAGCCAAAATAAATCTTTGTTCCATCCAGAATTTAAGACGAAAGGGGGAAAGAGGTCAGTCCCATGGCCTAGGGGTTAAGGGAGCTAGATTCCACAATGGCTGATCACATAATTCAAAACCCAGATCCAGAGGCTTACAAAAAACATACCAGGGGACCAGCAGGTGGTGTGGTGGTTAAGGCATGGACACTCCCACACGGTCAACCACGGTTCAAGTCCTAGACCTGGTGGCTTGCCTTTTCACTTTCCCTCTCTCTCGCCTGCTCTCTCTCTCTTTCTCTGTGTCTCTCTCAGGTCAAAATAAAATAAAAATTAATAAATAAAATTAAATAAATAATTCTTTTTAAAAAAATGTCAGGCATATATATATGTGTGCTCAAAATCCCAACAGGATGGAGAAATGAAAGAGAAAGTATGACCATGTACTTGCTTCCCTCTCCACTCTCTGCCTCTCTGTTCAGTCCACACACCATCTGGCAGAATTCAGTTTTTAATTGCCATTTACTGTTCTAATATATATGCTCCTTGACCAAGGAAGGCTTAGACAGAGGCTGAAAGTCCAAAAATTATTCAAGACTGTTAAATATATTCTAAAAATTAATAATTTATATTAGAGATACACACTGTTTAGTCAAAGAATAACAAAAAAAGTTTAAGAAAACTGCCAGGGCCGGCAGGTGGCGTGGTGGTTAAAGGTACTGGGTTCCTACATGGCCGACAGCAGTTCAAGTCCCAGACCTGGCAGCTTGCTTTCTCACTTTCCCTTTCTCTCTCTGTCTCTAGTCAAATTAAAAACTAATAATAACAAATGGAATTAAATAAGTAAGTAATTTTTAGAAACACTGGCAACATGTTACCAACAAGAGTACCTTTAAAGTCAGCAGGAGAAAGACAATGTACTAATACTGATAGAAAAATCAGTGGAGATGAAGCCAACAGGTGGCATGGTGGTTAAGGGCGCTGGACACCCACATAGCTGACCACGATTCGAGTCCCTGACCTGGTGGCCTGCTTTCTTCCCCTCCTCCCCGCCAGGTCAAATTAAAAATAAATGAATGAAGTTAAAGTAATTCTAAAAAAAAGAAAAAGAAAAAGATGTAGGCAATTATTAAATGCCTTTTTCATATGATTGATAAAATTGTTAAAAGACTGATAAAACCAAGTTTTAGCAGCAATGCACTAAAATAATCGTCACACACTATGAGTATTCACCAGTAAATCCTACAATTTTTTTGGAAGGCAACTGGCAAGATCTCATATAGAAACAAACATTTTCAAGACCAGCAGTTGGTGTAATCGCTGTATCGCTGGACTCCCATGTAGTCAGCCATGGTTTGAGTCCTGGATCCAATGGCTTAAACT